ACACACACACACACACACACACACACACACACACACACACACACAAAAAGAGACATGTCATGATACAAATGTACACTCTGTACATGCTTATTGCATTTAAAGGGGTCAAAGCTTATTAACACCCACCTGAGGAGCAGGAAATGAGGAACACTCCAAAAGCCAGCTTTGTTGCAGGTCCCATCTTTCAATCTTCTGTCTTGCCCTACAAAATCCAAAAGTCTTTGCATTCAAGTTGCTCCTCGAACCACTGATCAGCAGTCAGTGAAACACATCCATGTCACCGAGTCAGTGATATATGGCAGTGCAAAAATCCAATGCCAGCCTATAGTCCTCAGATTCGGCGATTTAGAAACGGCATTAAAGTGTCCACTGGTGATAGTTCATTCAAAGCAGACGAGCTTTTAGAAATAAAGTGATCTATGACTGTCCATGCAGTTTGCTTTAAAACTCATATCAATAACGAGGAAATTCCAATGCGTACGAATACTGTATCTATACAAATGTTGCCCTGCCGCGCGCTCAGAATAAACGAGCTCGTTCAATAAACTCGTTCAGTAAATGGGCCAGCTCCCAAACCCAGTGATCAGCACAACTGGACAACCTATGCATAGAACCCGCCATAAAATATATAGATACAAATATTGTTGTTAATGCAAAGGAACTAAAATGTCAAGCAGATAAATGCCTCCAAACCACCTGGAAAGTCTATGGCAGTACACTAAATGCATGCACATTTACGGGGATAAAAATGGAATTAACATCCCTAAACGATGTTTCCGCATCACGCTCACTTCGCTTTATGCTTAAATATAATATATGCAGTACAACAGATCATAGATAAAGTGAAATAAATGGGGTCACGCGCACGATTCAGCGCACGCGCGAGCTCAAGTTGACAGTGGAGGACTTAAATATGGCCAAACGCGCTATATCCACATTCCCTTCTGGTGTTAATGACTCAAACCTGCAATTCCCGACCTCACAAAGCTTCTCCAGAACTGCTAAGGTAGGTAGTTCAAACAAACAGTCGTTTTAAACTAAGACATGTCAACGGCTGAATAAAGCTTAGCACATAACATTACAGCCTCGAAATAACTTAATCAGCCCCGTCGGGAGTATGAGGCCAAAAATGAGACAGAATTGACAGATAGCGTCAGTAAATGTAATCCTTCAATATGTATTGTCCCGGTGTTCACGGTCGATTGACTTTTTAGAGCGGTCGGAACTCAATTTATCGCGATTTCCCTCTCTGTTGCTGTCAGTCACCGTTGGCTTACTGTATTCAAGATGGACGCCGGGGTGGATTGTTTTTGTTTTTTCTGTACTCCGCTGCCTTTACCCGCCCATTTCTCTACGTAAGCGCGGCACCGTATTGATTGACAAGCGTTTTACCCAATCAGAACAACATATGTAAATAATTGAAACCAACCATAGAGCTGGTTACACATAAACCCAGCCCTCTCTATGAGGGGTTTGTGTGTGGCAGTAGAGTGACGTGCGTTCGGAATGTCAACACGTTAAACCATAGAGCTGGTTACACATAAACCCAGCCCTCTCTATGAGGTGTTTGTGTGTGGCAGTAGAGTGACGTGCGTTCGGAATGTCAACACGTTATTGTGTAATTATGTTGCATTTACATATTGGGTAGACCAGGCTAGTCCAATTACAAAAGTATGTGTTTTCTCTATTAAAGGTTTTATATATTGGTTTTACCCAGATCAACCCCCCCCCCAATTATATTTTTGTAATCAAGTGAACACAATAAACCACACTGCATTCTTTGGTGGATTTTAACAGAAAGGTATTATCCATAAATATCAAGTTGTGGTACGCTGTCATTGTTAGCTGTTTATACCATTTATTATTTGAAATAGTTTTTGCCCAAACTGATGTTTTTTTTTGTTTGTTTGCTTTTGAACATTTATGCTTTGTTATGAATTGTTTCATAGTTGTTATACAGTTTAAATTTAGCTGAAAAGCATATAATCCGGTTGTTAAGTTTGATGTCACTCGTCACCAGGTACAAACAAAACCAGATGGTTAAAGCAAAAAACAAATGGTGCTAATATATACTCACTGTGTGCTGTAGTGCTACTGAACAATCACGATCCTAACTTTTATCTCCATACCGAAATTTCAGTTGGCCAGACAGTGATTCATCATTTCTGAATCATTAAAACATTGGTGCCCAGGACACGTTGAGTTCGGAGACTGTAGTGTGTATCGCCAGCTTTTAAAAGTTTAGCTTAAAAGGAATAGTGCTCACTGCTCATAAACGGCTTTTGAGATAGTATTCACACTTGAGACAGCAGAGAAAGAGGACTTGGTAACAGTCGGATAGGTTGTTTTAATGGCATGTTCCACTGTGACAACTTACCCCATAATGTAACAACATGCCCTGCTGTTGATATGTGTTCAATAACAATATCCTTTTCCCCTGGTCAATAACAATGATAATGTTCAAATGCTTTTTTTTTTCCTCAAGATTTTAAGATATCTGCATATACAGTAATTAATTTTCAGAAATAAGCCTACCTTAGAAATATTTGTAATTCATGAACAGGAATCATGAGAGATAAACCATTACAGTTTTGTGAAAGACAAAGAGGCAGTGAGTGATGTATTGTTTTATTCTTACTAAAAACCATTAAATGCCTGCATGGTTAATGAGAAATCATTCGCTATTGTTGTTGTCAGCCTTTGATGAAAGAACGACAGCTGGATGTTTCACCTTAATAGCATTGTTATTGATTTGCCTTTAAATAAAATATCATTCATTATTATTTTTGCTTCATCAATGTATAAACCCAATTAATTTTTTTTAAGTCATTTATAGGTGAGGCGTTTTGACAGGCACTTCTGAATTTATAACAGAGATGAAAGTGCACTGCATTCATACTTGAACTTGCAATATAAAGTGGATTCATCTTGGCATGAGTAGTAATACTAATTTGAACCCCTCTGTGCTATACAGTAAATTATTTTATTATGTTTTTGTACATTTTAAATAACTACTGTGATGTTGTCATGATCAGTAGCAGCTAATTGTCTAATATCATGCAAAAACATTTTTATTCAGACATTTACTCAGACATAAATTCAGGTATAAATACTATAACAAATCATTAGTAGCATAAGATAATTACTAACCAGACCATTTTTTAAATGAAAACCATCATAAATCTACATCACAAGGTCTCCACAGAGGACTGTTCTTAGTGATTTGTGTTCTGCTCTCATTGTAACATAATAGCAACTCCCAACCGGGCCCAATGCAGCCTATGTAATCTGATCCACAAATATTCACACATAATCCTGATGCCCTATTTAACCATAAGCATTTTTTTTCCATTGCTGCAGTGATCTGAACCTTTGTTGAAGTCCTTCAGTTTCCACATTCAGTGTCTGCAATGAAAAAGCTGAAAGTTTTGGAAATGAATGTATGAAAAGAGCACTCTGGAGCATATTTCACAATGAAATGTCAATTTTCCACCAACCAGAGGTGACTTTGGAAATCTCCAAACTAAGCTACTGTGAAGGTCAAAGACATGTGATCAATGACAGTGCCCACTGCACTTTGTCTCCCTCTCCTGATATTTCAAACCTGAGAGAATGCTGAAGAACGCTCTTTTCTACCAACCTCTGCAACCTCTTCTTTTCTTTTTAAAAGTGAACCAATGCTGTTCCAGATGGATGGATAGATAGATGGATATAGATGGATATATAGGATGAATGTATACATGTATACAGTCAATAATCGTTGTTCATAATAGCATAATGGCTTACTAAAACTAATTTATTATTATTGCATATTAAAGTTAATCTATTTTCACACACTCTCAGAAAAAAAGGTAAAAAAAAGTTGTCACTGGGGCGGTACCTTTTCGAAAGACACACCTTTGTACCAAAAGAGTCCATAATGGTACCTTAATGGTACATATTAGTACCTGAAGTGTACATATTAGTACCTAAAAGGTACAAAAGTGTACCTTTTGAAAAGGTACCGCCCCAGTGACAGCTATTGTACCTTTTTTTCTGAGAGTGCATCTGTTTTACATTATTGTGAAAAGGCCATGTCAAAAATAATATATTCTACTTTTTACCCCAAAATTACAAATTATAGTTGTAATAATAATAACAATACATTATTATTATTATTATTATTATTATTATTATTATGTGGGGTTTTATTCAGGATAATATATAATTTTTTGGCCATGGTTGAAATTGTTCTTGCAATTGTGAAAAGGCAATTTACAGCATGTTCAAACTACAGAGCACCTTTCCTACCATCTCGCCACATCTGCTCTGTGCTGATCGACAGGAATTACTTCTCAATTGCTCAAGGCCAGAGCAGTGTTGTCAAGCAATTACAAAGAATCCTTGCCATTGTCATTACCAGGAAACCTCGTTGGTCCATATTGTGCAGCTAATGATTTTGGACTTGTGGTTTATAATCTAGAATGGAATTTCTCTTTTGTGGCCTTTGAGGGATTGTCAACTTGACCATGAGAGGCTGTTAAGTGTTTATCTTCTCTCCAGCTCATCGTAATTAAGAGCTAGGAAATCGGAATTTATCTACAGCAGCCATGCGCTCCCACTGAAGGTCATTACAATAACCCATTTAAACGACATTCCCTCACGTGCCATTTTATTGGCCTTGTGACACACAGGAGCCACTTTGCTAAGTCAATCACCCACACAATGCTCGAGTGGATACTTAACACATACTTCAACTGACACGTTGTCAGCACAGAGTCTCAGTGACAGCAAGCATGCATTCTCTCTACTGGACCATGAAGAATATTTTGCCATGCCGGAATTCTACAGATGCCTAACATATCTTGTCCTGTAAGTTCATTAACTTTTAATCAAAGTTCTAAACGTGCCGGAGATTATCCTGATAGATTTCAAAGGGAGCATGTGAGATGGCAACGCATCTGTCAGTGCTTGTCATCCCTGTCGAACCGGGCGTCCTTGGGCAGATGGACATGTGGCTCTTCTGTGTGGCTAATTAACATTTCCCTTGGTGCTTTGTCTGCCACTGCTGCACAATAATTATGCACAACCTACGATCAGGTGCGAAATCCCAGTCACAATGGACCTGGGTGTGTGTATTCATACCAACATCAGGCTAAATCAATGAATTACTGTGTCAAAGATGAAATCAGCCAGATTGGGTGGTTGATGCAAACATAACCCCTGCTTGGAAAATGAGCTCTCAAAAACTAAGCCACATTCTTATATTACCTCTTCCTGCTCGTGGTTAAGCGCACAGCCTAAGCACGGGCAAATCACATTACATCCTGTTCTTTTAAAGCACATTAATGCTGAGCCTTGACACGTGGCAAGAATACCCCTATTCATTCACCATAACAGCAAATCAAGGCATCATCTTCCAATTCCCTTTCATTTTTTGATGTAATTATTTTATGGCAGCCTTAATGAGGCCCTATCATTTATCTCTGAAAGATGTAATCAAGTCTCAAATGCTAAATTACAGCTATTTTGCTGACCGGCGTTCAGCGATAATATAGAAAACATCTGAAAACAGTCCTGAAATGTATTCTGGGGGAAAAGACTGTACGTATGATGTATACTTGGGATATCCACGGTGATATGGATTTAACCATGCATATGATACTGTGGTGAATGCATTGTGCACAACAGCGTCAGAGGATAAGACTCTGAAAGCATATATTATGTCCCCACCTCTGTATTATACATCTTAGAAGGAATATGAACTTGCTTTGAAGAACATCTAGAATTCATTGCATTAAAAAAAAAATGTTCTTTTCATTTTTTGTTAAAATTAAACAAATTATGAGAAGCAAAATTTGTAAGAACTTATATCTCGAATTAAGTTTATTCTCAATTCTCAACCTAATTCTTAGGTTTTTTCTACACAAAAGTTTCTTAGGTTTTTGAGTAACCTTTCAATAGGCTTTCATTAGTTAACTACATTAGTTTACATGAGCTAACTATAGAAATACCTCCAAAGCATCTATTAATCTGAGTTAATGTTAATTTCAGCCTGTAGAATACATTATTTAAAATAAAAGTTGTATCTGTTAATATTATTGAATGGACCTGAGCTAATATGAACAGTTATACTAACTAACGTTAACAAAGATAAATACACACTGTAACATGAACTAACATTGAGCAATATGTTTGTTTATTAATGCTAATTATTAAATAAACAAATAATGGGGTGTTGTTTTGGACCCCAGTTACTTTCACTGTATGTATTAAAAACCTGTTGAAACATTCTTCAAAATATCTTCTTTTATG